TATGGGCTCAGCAAAGCTTATGAGGAGTGTGGTTCCATGCAAATCCATGGCTGTAGCTGCTGCTGGTGTGTGTGTGCATGATTCTGTGGGAAGCTTTCTGCTCACCAGCTCCTCTACCCCTTAATGCTGCAGCACCTCCTGCTTGCTGCATGGCTGTGAGATTTCCTGGCCCTCAGAGAAGAGTTGAGACTCTTCTCTGAGAAGAGACTGGGCTGGATTTGGGATTGACAAAGGGAAGATTAAGGAGCAAATACATTACCTGTTGTGACTTCAGAGGCAGATAAAATAAAAGCACACCCTCCCTTGCTCCAACAAGGAGCCAGCTGAGAATTGTGCTTTTCTCCTGCAAACAAAACCTCTTTCCTCTGCCATCTGACACTGCTTCAGTTTGCAAAGAAAGGCTGCTAATGTGCTCACCCGTTGACAGAGCAGACTTGAAGAACAGTTTATGGCACCTACTGTACACTCAGCTCAGAGATGTAAAACAATTTTCACTGTAGCTGCTGTGCAGGGCTTGGCTAGTACAGCCATGTCCAGAAATATCCAGCAAGAAAAAAAAAAAAAAAAAAAAAAAAGCAGCTATTAAAAACACTCACACGCAAGCCAGGAAACATCTTATTATAGATCTTGGTTTGAAGAAGGGAAATTAAAAACCCATACCCACACTCAGCATATGCCCAACTATATTTGTCTGATCCATTTATTATCTTAGCCAATGCAATTTCAGTGTTGCACTACTCCAGCCTTTCACGCTAAAAAAAAAAGCAACAGCAGCCCAACGCACAAGATGCCATGGCTGGTTTACAGCTGCGGCCTATCCTGTTTCTCTGAACATTTGCTGATTTGGCATCGGCACAATACGGAGGGAAGCGGAAGGTGGGGGTTGAGATCTGCCTGGAAGATGTGGATCACAGCAAAGCAAGCTCTTCCTATCTTTATGGCAGCGCTCCGTCGGAAGCGCAGCAATTTGTTTGTGCGCTGCTCTTTAAAGCTGTGCTGGAGAAGGCATCACTTGGACTGGGATCCTTCACTACAGATGCACCTCGTGCCTGCATTTCCCAGGCCATGGAACTGCAAATCCAAGCTCTGGCGAGGGCAGGCCATGCATACAGAGTTAAATATGCAATGGAAAACATTACAGCTCGGCTAGTTATTGCTCCCACAGTGCAAAGACTGGCAATCAGTGCTGCAAGTACTTTATGAAGCAGTAGGAAGCTCCTGGCGCTGGATTAAAGCGGTGTGCATGTTCGTGGGGAAGAGGGGAAGAAACACAGCCACGCTGTAGGCTGGGGTTCTCCAGAGCCACCTGTGGGTGCAGCCATGCCAGAATCACTGCTGAGCCCTCTGCCTCCACGGGAGAGGCGCCACAGGATGCTCCACAGTGTTCCAGTGCCGTACCCGTGCCCCTAATGCAGGCTTGCATCAACTCCTCCTGCACAGGACAGACTCCAAAATATCACAAATTCAACATGAGCTCAAGTGCTCTGTTGGCTGAAAGAGCCAAAATAGTTTGGGTAAATTCTGTGTCCTTGATGCAGCAAACTTATACTGGGATCGGCAACATTCGCCTTTATTAATAGCCTGGATGTCCTAAGCGTTTTTCTTTTTCAGTTCTCACGAGTTATTTTCACTATACAGCCTCCCATGATTACCCAGCTTTGGGAGCTGATTGGATCAACTCGTGGGATAAATCCCCACAGATGAAGAAAACCCAAAGCAACACACACCCGGAGAAACAAGAGTGTTTCTATAAAAAGTTAGGAACATGTGTGTGGTACTGTGGGTATAAACAAGCCTCGACACGTATCTCTGCTGAAAAAGGCTTATTTTGGTTCGTGGGGCTTTATGTAAAGGAGATTCTGGTTATGCATCATGTGCCACTTTTGGTGGTACCTGTCCCCTGAGCAGCCCACAAGTGCTCAAGGTACTACTCAACAAGGGTAAGGGAACTACATTTCCACGATAGTTCCCCTGCTGTTTGTAAAGCAGTGCTAGGGATCAGATCTGCCTGTGACTTGCTTTTGCATGAAAACCTACCTTCTTTCAATACTTTGAATATCCTAGGAAAGACTATTGTGCAGGGACAGAAAGTCCTCATAGACACAGTGAGTGCCGGATGGGTGGGGAAAAGCCTCTGGGGCAAATGCTTCACTTAATTCCCAGAGCCTGTCTAGGCAGAGATGTCAGGTTGTACAGCTTACAGCAGTGATGTGAAACACCTACAGCAACATCTTGGTCCTGTAAAAATCAATAGCAAAACCCTCCTGAACCCTGGACTGATGCCAGGCCACGAGAACAGCAAATTGTGCAGAAAAAGCCAGAGTCAGAGAAAAGCTACCAGGAGAAAAGGAGTCAGTGCTCAGCAGGAGCTTTCAAAGGCCTTTTGGGTTTATTTCCTCCAACAATGAGGTATCAAGGGAGCTTGCAGGATGGATTTAAGCCTCTACAGAGGGACTTGAACAAATCAAGATCTCCATGAAGATCCAACACAGACTACCGAGGGTACAGCAAAACGTGCACTGAGGTTTCTGGGGATTTTAACTCCTTAACTCACTGGGCAGGTAGAACTGCACAAACACCAAAGCATGACTGCAGACCGTTTCCCTCTCCCACATTCAGGTCCTGTTCTGGATCATGATCACTAAAATGAGTATTCTGGGTTTTGTTTTATCCCCCTCCATGTGCCTTTTTGTGCCATACTCAGGCTCCGCTCTAAAAGACACTTTTATTCATATTCTCAGGGGTTTTGTTTGATCTTTGTATATTAACAGGATGAGCACTAACAGCACAGGAAGACATTCTTCTTGCCTCCAACTCAGGTATTTGGACACAGACTTGCCAGCTGCCAAAGTCTTACTCAGTCCCTGGCTTGGACTTGCTTAAAGCATATAAAATCTGCTGGGAATTTCTCTGTAAAATCCATATGAGCATATGCAAACTAATTTCCTGCCCTCCAAGGTTTGACACAGCATAACCCAGAGGTACCAGGCTGGCAAACAGACCAGATCCCAACATATTTCATAATTCCCAGCAGTGTGACTATTAGAGCTACTCTAGAAAAAGCTAGCCAGATTTTTAACTGGGGAAAACCACTGCATTTTCACTCCCTCTGTGTTTCAGAAATGTCTAAATATCTCTAAATGAAAGAATAAAAAAACTAGCTGGAGGTAGAATCTGCCAAGGTGAGATATGTCAGGCTGAGGCTGAAGCAAATGGGAAGCTCGTGAGTGTCCCTGCATGGATCACAGCTCAGCCCTGCTGTAGGAGAGATAAGGAGCCCCTGCCAGCATCTCCAAAGCTGCAGAGGATGCTGCCACCACGGCTGAGACACAGGGAAGGGCCCCCCACATTCTGGTGTCAGCACTGAGCCTGTGGGCAGGCAGTACACCTGGTGTGATGTCCTCAAGAAAAGCAGTGCAGAAAGCAGATCTGTGCTGCCCAAAGTGCCAGACTGTGCTTTCTCCCAGCATACACACCCACAGACCCTCTCTGCATCCTACCTGTGATGTGTGCATCTGCCTCTGCCAGAATGACAAGAGGGACCTGGCCTACAACAGCACCCAAAGCTGAGGCTGTTGAAAAGACAGGGAGCTGGAAGATACTTTCTTCACAGCCACTAACAACATGGAGATTTTAGCATCACCCCTCCACGTAGCTAAGACAAAAATAACATTTCTATAAATGCACCACTGTATTCTGACGTCACAAGACTCCAAATAAAATCACTCCAAGGCATTAGAAAACAACTTACTATTTATCTTAATAGAGCAAGCTTGTCTCTCATTTTTCCTTGTCTCTTCCCAGCAAGGCCCTAAAGCCCCTGGAGGATGACTATTCTGATAAATTGCATAACAAATTACATTTCAGGGCTGTACATCTCCATCACAGAGTATGGATGCAGTGTAAGGCCACCTGTTTACAGGAGCTATTTTGGGACACGGTGGACAGCCCTGGCTTTCTCAGAATCCATCAGCAGTCAGTGTTTGTTCCCAAGCATGCACACATACACCCACCACTGCACGCGTCTCACTGACCCAATGTTCCCACATATTCCCCCCAAACATTTCCCTTCACACCAGCGGATAACCAGGAGGATGTTCCACTTGAGAAGGTCTGATAGCAAAAGGAAAGAATTCAGCTCCTCCCCGTGGTGGGCTTCCAGCTTTGATCTCCTGGATAACCACTGCATCTGGTGACCATCTGTGGTTAAAAATGGCTTCCCAGGAAAAAAATGCTTAGGCTCAGCATGGGGAGGTCAGTTATTTTTAACCGAAACCCATTCCACCTTGGAGCCTGAGGAAAACAAGCACGTTCAGCAGAACTGGTCCTTCCGAGCCAGCGAGTGCTATCACCACGCAATGTTGCTTTTGGCAAACAAACCAGTATCACCTACTTGCCTGGGCTCATCCACTTACAGCATGGCTGCCAAGGGAAAACAGGATAAAGAAAGGATGACACATTACTAATCTCTAACCACGCATGTTCAAAGTGCAAATGGAAAGAATGAGCACCCTTGACACCACACTCCCCTGTTTACAGCAGGAATAACTGGAGCCCGGGATGTGGCCGGGCAACTTTCCCCTGAGCATGAGTGCGCCTCTGTCCTAAGGAGAGGGTCAAAGGGTGAACTGTGACTCCAAACCTCTTCAGCTCCAGAGCTTCTGAGCTGGAATCTCACTTCTGAAAGTCAGTCACAGCAGTGGCAGGGATACAGTGACACTAAACCTGGGCCCTGTCAGACCAGCAACTCCCACTGCAAGGCAACACAGAGCAAGGACTCAGTATCTGGACTGCCTACTGTTCAAGAAACCCTGAAAAAGCAAAACCAGGAACCCATAGAATGGAAACCCTTCCCTCATCCTTTCTTCATCTTGCCCATTTGCCACGGGCAAATAGGCAAAAAGGGGAAGAGCTGCCCCCCATCTGCATCTCCCTGTCCTGGTCAACACCCTGCCTCATCCTTGGGACCGTGGAGCTGGGATGCTGCTTCTCACCTGCTGTCCCAGGCCTTGTGCAGCGTGAGGGCTGCAAGCCTTGGCTTTGCAGTGCCGGGATGTGCAGCCCTGCTGAGTCACGGCTGCGCTGTGACTGACAGCCCCCTGCTCCAGGAGCCTCCCAGGCCTTCAGCGGGGCAAGTTCTGTAAGCAAGGATGTTATGTAAGTGGATAGCTATTTTTGTCCAAAGTTTGGTTCTGTACTCTGCGAGACTAAAAATACACTCACACAAAGCTAAAGAATGTGTTTCTCCCCGTCATCCTCTGCCCAGTGGTGAGTATCTTGTTTTACGTGCACTGCAAAGTGCAAAGCTTCTCCTTTGTAACTTGCCTCCTCCTCCTCTGCCTTCATCATCTCCTGAGCCCACAGTCCAGCACTCCAGACTCAACAAGGACTTTCACCATACTTTCCTTGCTGGCCAGAAGGTGGTCAGGGGCCTGGGAGCAGAAGCCACAATGAATAAGGTGTAGCCTCAGACACAAACAAAGCCTTTTATTTTGCCCCATGAAACTTTTTTAACTCAATAAATCAGACCTGCCATAATTTTGATGCTTTGAAAAAAACTCCCACTGAACATCTAGGAGATTGGCTACTGTTAGTTGAAGACTTCAGGCAGTTAAATGATACTTGCTAATTCTGGTGCTATCCCTGGGCCCAGACATCTGTCCCTGCCGGCAGGTCTAATGAGGACTTTGGTCTGCTCAAGAAAGACTTATTCATCATCAGATCTCTTTGCCTCTTATTTAAATGTTCTGCTTCATGTCAGAAGAAAGGGAAGGAAAAAAAATCTATAAATAAAAAGTCAGCAGCTATTTTTGGAAAAGAATTTTCTTCCTGGTGCATGTGTCTGTGTGCGTGTGTAAACAATTGTCTTCTGCATTTTTGTCAGCTTATCTTATCTCAAACAAATACCAAAGGCCTTTTTTTTTATTTTTTAAATATTATTTTTATCTCTTTTTTTTTTTTTTTATGGCCTGGCTGTCTTTATCAGTCTCTCTAAAAGACTCCCTCTGGGGTCAGGTTCTCCAAGCACCACCACACTTCCATGTGGTGCCCACTGTGGTAGCTGAGCTGCAACTGATGCTCAAGGCAAAGTCTGGCCCTTGGAGCACCCTTGGCAAGCTTGTAAAGACGTCATTCCCGACAGCTTTCCACCTATATATTTATACCTGCTTATTGCAGATACACTTTCAGCCAACACCGTGCTAAGGGGGTGCACCTGGGACTGGTTTTTGGCTGCAGGGAACTGCTGTCTGCGCCAGACTCCCCCTGCCCCTCAGCATCCTCTGAAGCACACTGCCACTGCCTCAGAGAAGGCTCTTTCCAAAATGAGCAAGGGGGGAGAGACATCGCTAAGGTGCCCCCAGAGCAAGCTGGAATAGCCTGCCCTGGGCTTGGAGGAGCAGGCAGGGCTGAAGGGATTTCAAAGGAAATGAGGTGGCTGCCGCTTCAGATGGATGGGTATTTCACCGAGGAGAACAGGCAGGATATATATAAAGTGAAAAGCAACTTTGGGAGAAGAAATGAGCTGCTAACAGCAATGGAAAAGCTCTCCACAAGACACAGCAGCCTTATGTGTGCTGATAAGAGATAGGGTTGAGTGGAACATCACATTCCTGGACCATTCATAGCTCTCCTTCCTATGAAAGCAGCAAGCTCTGGGGGTCGATAACACAGGAATGTCAATGCAGAGCTAAAAAAAACCCAAAAAACAACCCTCACGTGTGCTGTTATTAATATGTGCAAATATTTCCAGGTACTTGGGGCTTGTTCTGAAAGCACCCTACTCAAAGTCAGGGAGGGTGATAACTCTGCTCACCAGGCTGGGATGAAGGCAGGCAGAGGCAAGGAGGCTTGAAAAAGCTGTACTGGCCTTGCTGCATATCAAACCATCTCACCAGCAGCAGAGGTAACCAGCACCAGACAGAAAGAACAGAATTACTCAAATGCTGGAGTTGCCAAGACAATAGCAAGCATGTTAGAGGGTTAAAAAGAGTGATTGTCCTTGTCCCCAGCGGAGACACAAGCTTGTACAGACCTCAGATCCAACAAGTGATGCCATTTGCTGCAAGGAATCATGAAATAAATAGTAACTTTTAAACTATTTAGCTGAATTTCCATCCTGTTGAACTCAGTTCTGTCACTGCACTAAGAAGGGCCAGAAATTAAGTGTTTATATGTGGCAGAGGGGACACTTCGGTCCAACCCAACCTCCCAATCAAACCCAGTACTTGATCAAAATCTGTCAGCTCATCTTTCTTGCAGTGCAAGAACTCTGTGTTTCCTTGATCCAGTTACCCAAAGACTCTCGAAGGGCTTATGGCAGCATGGAGAACTTTTGGTCACCCAAAGGTCCTGACTCCCTTGCTCTCAGAATTTCACAGACTCCTTCAAAGGCCAAAAAACCAAAATGGAGAACAGGATTGAAAATAGTTGTGTTTCCTCGCTTCTCTAGTTTTATGCTTTGAGCTAGCATGGGAATGTTTTCAGGTTCCTGTGTGCTCAGGCTCCTGGCCCAACATATCCACGCCCTGATCTTAAGTGGCAAATGCACATGCTACAAGTGCAGTCACACAGGGGCCACATGTGCTGCAAATATCTGAAAAAAAATCAGGCCAACCAATTCTGAGTTTTATCAGTTCTAAGCTGTGATTCTCAAAACTCTCCCCCAGATGCCTGAATACAATCCTTTGCCTGAGCTCAGCTTTCCTTGCTCAACATCACCTACTACACTGGTAAGCAGGAAAACAATCACAGCTTTTTGATCTTCATGGTGGCAGAAAATGTTCCAGAGAGGCCAGTGCCACGTGGCTCCTCTGGTTAACTCCCTGTTGTCAGGGCCACAGGATGCTTTTAGCAGGGCTCCTTCACCACACCTTGCAGGAAATTCAGGGCTGCCTCCAGACAGAGCTGGCTCTGGAAACGAGTGCCTGTGCTCAGTCTGTGCAAGCAGACTCCAAGCTCTCCATGCACCACCTTGGTGGGAAAGTAAATACCAGAAGTCAAACAAAAAACTCCTCCCCCAGTTTCCAGGGCTGCACTGTGAGTGTACATTCACACAACCTGGCCAAACCCAGAGCAGAGTTGTCTCAGCTTCTATGGGGGTTAGGGCCAGAGGCTGGATTCAGCTAAAGTCAGTGTGGCTTTGTGGGTGCAAGCTGGACTGGAACTTCAGTCTGGTGGTTTGAAGAGGATGGAATAACTTATCTTTGATTTAAAATGGAAAGAGAAGCAAAATAAAATGGTGCTATTCCTTTGCAAATCCTGCTGCAGTGGGCTGCTTTCTCCAGCTGACAGGGCAGTAGAGATTGCTCCATCCAGTTAGCTGGTCTTGTGGGACATGAGAATTTCCCATCCTGTTGGATATTTGGTTCATCTCTCTTTCCTAGGGTTACCTCTCCCTCCAAAGGCCTTCCACAAGGCTGAAGCCAAAGCTTTAAACTTTGTGCGGTACCAAACTGGCTTTTCTGTACTCACTCATCTTACAAGCATAGTTTGGATCTTTGCTCTGAGTTCTTCTTGGGTAGGGATTTCCTACCCCTGTTTACTCTTCTGACGCATCTCCAGGCAGCCGAGTGTCTCACAGCCACCCACTCAGCCTTATGAACAAGCATGTTTCATCCCAGTTTCAACAGTGCTCCCTGGATTTCCTCTGCTGTTAAAAGCAAATCAAGTTACATCTCACCCAAGCAATACTACTGCAACGCAGAGAAGAAAAACAAGGGAGGCAGAGAGGACTTCCAGGCAGGGGAAGGGTTTCCAGCAAGAAAGCATAGCAATGATGATGAAGTGCAGCACCCAGCTAAACACTGCCTGCTCCCTGTGGCTGCCCCAGGACCCACTCTGTGCCTTCAGCCAGAGCCACCCCAAACTGTCATGGTTTCACCCCACCATCATCTATCCACACTCTGCCACCAGCTGACAGGTATCTCCCACCACCTCGATTTTCTCCTGTTCATTAACTGCATCACTTGTGTCAGTCCCTGCCTGAGGTCACAGTGGGTTCTTCAATGCCTTGCCACTCATATCATTGCCTTGGTGTCACCACTGCCAGAAAATGTGAAACCTACATTTGCCCTAATGCTTTCCCAGGCAGTGCAATCCCTTCTAATTGGGTTTTGTTGTTCCTGGCTCACACCCCTGCAGGGGGCTTGCAGCAGTGCCAGCATACCCGTATGGAAGTGTTACACTTCAGCCTGCCAGTGGCACCCACCTTGTGCTTCTTGGTGCCAGCAAAAGGTCTTTAACAAAAGGCATGTTTGTCACCCATGGCCAGCAGTCAGTGTCACCTTGGCTGCCCCATCAACTGAGACTACCCAGGTGTTGACACCACAGATCCAACCAGCCTGGGAAGGCCAAGCCAAGGAGTGACTGGACGATGGTGTCCCACACAGAGTGGGAAAATGATGCCTCGAGTGATCCTGGGCACGAACAACCCCAAATAGTTCTTCTCCTGCCTGATTCTGCAGAGAGGGAGGAGGCTTGAGCTCCCCCCAACCCCTTTCTAGGCAGCAACATCTTTACTTAAGCTGAATTCAAGGAGGCCAGTTAGACCACGGAGTGGGATGAGACCAAGCCTCCACCACACAATTTCAGGCAGGAAAGTAGCCTTCAAATACTAACTCAGATGTTTTGTCCCTAGGGCAGAAGGAAACCAGATGCCAATATCTTCAGATTCCATGATAAATTCCTTTCCCATCTGGCCTCCCCTTCTGAGGACTTCAGAGAGGACTGAAATAATTGGATGGTTTTCTGAAGTTTCCTGTTTGCAGTTCTCCTGGAAATGGTAATAGGTCAGTGGCCTCATTCACACTGCCCAGGTGCAAATACACCTTGAGCAGCTCTCTCAAGTAATTTCTTCAGGTAATGAATGATAGTCTTCATGTTTTCTTCTGTTGCAGCTTCAGATGACATCTGAATTAGCAACTAAAAATTAAGAAGACTGAAAGAGGATTTGTAGTAACTGGGGTGCCACTTACTCTAGGGACACATTTGAGTTGGCTGACTGGCAGGTGAATTATTGCAGAATTAATTTTAGTGTCCCATCTCTGTTCTGTGCTGACAGTAGCCTTTCAGAAGGTGCAGTCAAGCTTTGACACACAAAGTCCATCTCTATTCAGACAACCCTTACAGGGCAATGAAAAGCTTGATCCAAAAATATCCTTCATAATCTTTACAAAAAAAAGAAAATAAGTTTTCCAAAGGTGAGGTGGTGTTTTTTTTGTTTTTGATATTGTTTTGTTGTTGGCTTTGTTGGTTTTTTTTGGGGGGGGGTTGTAGCAAGTTACAATACAGAAAAGCAAGGGAATATTTCAGAGCCTCATTTCCTGTTATTCATATACTGTAAACTGTCTTCAGCACAAAGGGCTGAATAGTCCCAAAAGCTAAATGAAAAAAAACAATTTTTACATGATTCTATATTTATCCTTTGTATTTTATATCTAAATCTGCATTCTCCTCGGACACACAGACTCCTTCACACCTGCACACAGGTTTACCTGCACACATCCACACTTCAGCCCATCCAGTTACCCTTTAGAGCAACATGCTTTACTTCCAGCTCGGCGGAAAACCCGGCTGCAGAGGCAGGGTTTTCTCCAGATGTGCTGACCTGAGCAGGGCAGGGGGTGCAGGGAATTGTTGCAGTCCAAAGCACCACTGCAGTGCCAAGCCTGAGCCTCACCCCAGGCTACAACCAGGGATCCCTAATCAGCTGGTTCCTGGCCAAAGGCGTCCCTTCCACACTTCTCTTTGCAGATACTGCTGGGCAGCGATTGTTACCTATCCAGGTAAAGGTTTACAGTGCATTCTTTTAAGGCCACTCCTTTTTCCTTACTTATTCCTGATTTTCCTGCTTACTTATTTCAGAGCCCATCCCAGCTGCTGGGCCGAAGTACAAACCCTCAGGGGGCACAGCAGCATTAGGACATTTCCCCTTTCCAGCCACTCAGGGGCAGAAAACACTGTCTGGCAGCCTCTCTGCAGACCCCGAGCCCTCTTCTCCCAGCACCCCCAACCCCACAGCCATCCTGTGCCTGGAGAAGGCAGCTGGCTGAGCTGCCACTTCCCTCTCTCCCAGCCCAAGTGACCTTAGTGTGAAGAAATGCTTTCCTGGTATTCAACCTACATTTCCCCTGGCCCAGTTTATCCCATTGTTTCTACTTAACCCTTCCTCAACAGCCTCATCACCCTGAGCAGCTTTGACTGAATTTAGCTGCCATACACAGTTCTGATATGATTTAGGGGCAAGTAATTCAGATTAGCCACGTACCTGGCACCCCAAAAGCCAGGCTGTGTGCCTGTGCCTTTCACACATCCCTCATTCCAGGTCTTGGATTACCCAGTGACTTCCTATTGGAAATCATCAACGAGAAATGTTGATCCGTGGATCAAACCTATGGAGCGAGCCACTTGCCCACAGGGAACATCCCCTCGGAGCTTTCTGTAGGATTCCTTTCTGTAGGATTCCTTCCTGCTTGCTTTGTTTGCCCCACAGCTGCTCCTTCTCACACACAGTATTCCCCATTGGAGGGGTACACAAAAAGACACCTCCAAAAAGCACAGCTTCTGCATCAGGCACAGCAGGGCCACAAGAATTGAGAATGGGATGGTGGAAGCAGAAGAGCTGTGTTTGGAGCTTTCAGGTCCAAGGTGGATCCCTGAAAACCTTTCTCCTGGGAATAGAGGTTATGGCAGCTGGTGTGGGGCAGTCCCTCTGAAGCCACAGGCACAAAAGCATGGTTGTCTTTAAAGACACATAATGACCCTTTTAAGGCGTAATTTATCAGAAGGGTATTAAGGAGAAAGCACTGGGATGTTACAAAGCACCTTCATACTGTGCCTGACTTGTGCTACCTACAAAATCAAAGCCTGTTTCTAGCAAATTTCCTGGAAAGCAGTTTGAGCGTTCTCATTTTTTCATGTTTTCTGCGAATTTCCATTACTCCCTCCAAGTACAAAACATTTCTTAAAAAAAAATCCCCTAGATGCAGATCAACAGAGGAGTGTTACAGGGTGCCTTCTGTGGGAACCACTGAAGTACAATGAGCATCCCTTTGTAAAGGCCAGAAGTCCCTCTGCCTTGTGATCCTTTTAACCCTTTAATGCTTGTCACACTCTCCAGACAGCACTTCCCGTCCATACCCTTAACGTGTGCATGTGAGATGTTACTTTTACACTGCCAGATCTCCCCCAGGTTTCCTACCCAGTGATTCACTGCCTTTCAGCCATTCAAAGTCATGTCCCAGGAACTTTCTCCTTGGTCCCAACACTTCTCTTTACCACTGAATCAACCACAAGCGGAGCATTTCTTCAGCAAAACTCCGCAGCGAAAATGGTCCAAATTTGGCCTGTGCAAAGTTTTCACCTTTGCACAAGTTTGTGGATTAATTAGCAGATTTTCAGGACTTAAGGATGCTCAAAGCATTGTCAAAGGGTTAACGCCCAAGATTGTTTTCAGAGAGTGAAAGGTCTGGCTACAACTTCTCTTTATTTCCCTCTTCCTCCTCCCTTTCCCTTCTGCTTCTTCTTTTATGGGCACATCTCTACTGTGGCTCAAAAAAAAAAATAATTAAATTTAAAAAAAAAAAGTTGCCCTTGACGGCCTTGTTTTCCCCTGACTGCTTGGAGCCATCAGAGATCCAGTCAGAGGGTGGCTTTTGTAATAAGGAAAGCTTCTTCCAGGCAGAGGAAGACGCTGCCTGGGGCTTCTATATTCACAGCCTTTCTATTTCTGGCTCTCCCTTTTCACAGGGCTTTGTTTGCTAAACCCTGCTCTCCCCCACGGGACATTAGTGAGCATACTTACCTCAGAAACAGAGCAAACAGAAAAACCCCCAGCCACCCCGGCACAGCCCACCCCAGAGATAAGGGGCTTTGCATCTTACCTCTCTGCCTTTTCTACGTTCAGGAGACTAATTAATAGGAATGCCTCAACGGTTTAAATCCTGCTTTATGGATTTCAATTTGCCTCCTGCGGTAGAAAATAAAAAGTAATCCTATTTTCAATATGGCCAGGGGTAGACTGTGCAGACACCGAGCCCAAAGCAATGCGAGAAAGGTCACTGCAATAATGCGATGCATGGGCTCAGAAAGCCCCAAGCAGCTCTGGGGAGCTGGCATCAGATGTTAAGGCAAACCTAAGGGCCCCAGCCCTCCCTCTGATCACTGACAGAAGGATTTCAGCCCATGACATCAGCTCACAGCCCTCCCAAACCCCAGCATCAGAGATGCGACTGCTGCCTGCACCAGATTTTGAGACAATCCTTAAAGTTCCTTGTCAAGGTGCCTAAAACACACAGGATGGGTAAGTCCTGGCAGGCTCTCAAGATGTGCACAGAAAATGCAGGGATATTCCCTCTTCCTTCTGAACTTTTGTCCCAAAAGTTTTCATCAGTCTTCCTGCAAAAGCTGTGTTTAGTCCAGTCTCATCAGTGAGGCACACAGCTAACTGCTCTCCCGTCCTCTGAGGGCTCCAAAGCTCCCTCCTGTAGATTTTCCATCAGTGGTTGTTTTGAACATTTTTTCTGATGTCTCTTGAAACAAGCCAGTGTTCAAGCACAGCCTGTCTGACACCTATCCCGAGGTCAAGCCAATTATTTCACTCCTTGCCCAGAGCCGCTGAGGCAGTCACAGCTTGCACCAATCTTTTAACATTTCCACCACCTCCAGCCAAGTGCAGTCTGACTTGGGAAGTTTGCACTTTGTCACTGTTGACACCTGCAAAGTCACCAAAAGCATATGGCACCTCCCCAGCCCTCTCCTGAATAGTGAGTGCTTTTTATACTTCTCCTTCCCTGAATTTCATACAACTGGTCCTTCAGCCAGAAATTCTCTAATCCTGAATGCAAATTTCTCCAGGGTCTGACACATTTTGATATGGTACTGGTGACAAGTGTGTAATGGTTTGCATCTACATGTGAAACCACCCTTATGCCAGGAAGGGATGGTCAGGGAGTTGGTTTAATCCTGGATGGGTCTCCAGGCTCCCAGCTACCACCACCAAGGATTGATCTGCCCATGGGAATGCACCCTCATTCACATCTTGTCTTGCCAGCCCAGCCAGTTACTGCTTTTTCAGCTCCAGCCCACCTCTTCAGTTCTTTTGAGTTGAGCACAGACACTTTCTCACCTGTCTCACCAGGCAGATGAGATCTGTGTGCCCAAGGCACAAGTGCACGCCTGTATCAGCAGCTCGAATGCAGCCTGGTGATTTCCAACGGGGCAACAACAGTCTTGCCAAAAACAGCTCTTGGTTCCCTAGGGACTTGCTGCAGCAGAAACAGGGCTTCTCAGAGAGGAATCAAGTCCTTTTAATTTGACAGAAACCCCTGAGAAGCTCTGCCAGAGTAACAATATTCCCCCACTGCTGGCCTGGATGAGCACTGTGAACCCAGAGGTGAAGGACTTTCATAGGCCATTACCCAGCCTCCCGAGCCATGCAGTTCCCAGCTGCCACACAGAAGCTCAGTCCCTGCTCTTTTTCACTCTCAGCTTGCAAACAGAGTGTGAAAACACATTTTCTCATCTTCAAATGTTTGGTTTTTGGGTTTTTTTTGTTTCCTTCTCAGCATATCTTCCCCTAGCTTATCACCTTGAGGTGCAGGGAAGAAGACACTCAGCATTTCAGGAGATGTCATGTTTAACCTTGTGCATGATAGAAGCTGGAAACATGAATTATCAGTAGCACTGGGGCATGAAGCTGAGAATTAGGACTGCTGTAACTTGGAAACTTCAGGCACAGCCACAGGAAGATGCCATGATGTGTTCTTTTATCTCAGCCTAACTCCCAGAGGGTCACTGTCATACAAACTGCTTGCTAAAACCCAGATACACCTTCAGTCTCACACAAGTTACAAGTTCAACCCCTTCTTCCCCTGTTAAAATAATGATCAGAGATGGTTATTGGAAATGTCAGAAAACCTTGTTCCTATTTGAGACTTTGCAGGCTTGGTGACCCTCCTGACTACCGAGACAGGCAAGGGAAGCCTGGCTGGTCCCGAGTGCCAAGGCAGAAAATCATAAAATCATTCAGGTCAGAGAAGACCATTAAAATCATCCAGCCCAACCATTAACCCAGCACTGCCAGTTCCACCACTAAACCATGTCCTTAAGTGCCACATCTTTTAAATGCTTCCAGGGAAGGTGACTGACCACTTTCCTGGGCAGCCTGTGCAGGGCTTGACAACCCTTTTGGTGAAGAAATTTTCCCTAATATCCAATCTAAACCTCCTCTGATGCAACCTGAGGTCATTTCCTCCTGTCCTATTGCTTGTTACCTGGACACAGTCCAGCATCTCAATGTCTTTCTTGGGGTGAGGGGCCCAAAAACTGAACAGAGGCGTTGAGGAGTGGCCTGACATCCTTTCCCTACCAACAGCACAGCTGCATTTTTTGGGTGTTTCCATCAATTGATACCAGCGTGATTTGCAGATGAAAGCAGCACATTATCATCACTACTGCACTTTTTGGAGAGTGGCAAGGCTGAGGTTGAAGAACAGCAATGGAAATGAGACAGAAACACAGAAGATGGTCAGGGAAGTAGAGCAAAATTTTGTCTGTGTAACCAGCTCAGGTCAGGATGTCTCCGTTGTCCATGAAATTCCCTAGAAATGGGTCTTCAAAGGGCTGCCTAGAAGCATCCAAGATGCCAGGCTAGGGCTTACCAAAGCTAGTTTCTTTCTCCATGTGAAATTTCACATTTTTACTTACATTTAGCTGCTCAGGACAAACTCCAAGAAATATCAGCTAAAAATGTGCTAAAACATGTCAATAGCACAAAAGGAGGAACAACTTTGCCTGTCCCCAGCTCTTTGAACTCTTCTCCCAACCTGGCAAAGCCTAAAGCAATTCAGAAACTGATGGAGAGGCTCTGTTTGGGTAGAGGCATGATGTGCCATGCTGCCAGGTAAGGACATGGCTACAACCCCAGAGTCCATTCACACAACCAGAGCCTGGATGTGCATCAGTCCTCAGGAAAACTTTGAGGTTTGATAGGTCCCTGAGCTAGGAAGTCAACCTATGTCCTCCAGGAAGACATCATTGCATCCTTCTTCACCCAGAGGGGAAACTCATCCGTGCACCCTGGAACACCTCTCTTGCAATTGTCTCTTCTAAGCATCTCTTCTGACACCTTTCCCAGCCCAAACACTTTCTAATAGAGACAACACCAAAGATCTAGCTCTGACCACAATGTGGTTCCTGACTTTATACCAGCAGCCAGTGCTGCAGGTACTTCCAGCACAAAGATATTTATTTCAGCACAAAGACTGGTGCAAAGGGCTCACTCTGATAGGTATAGCTCCATGATCCTCATTTGCAGAGCCAAAGCCTGGGGGACAACAGGGTTTTCCTGGGAAGGCTATGGCTGTCCTCAACAGCACGTGACATCCTGCTGCACCACCACACTTCTGTGCCTGCCCAGCGCCACTGGCCCACACAGTGTTGTCTCTGCACCACGGAGCAGCACCTGCCCAGCACAAACTAATCTTCTGACATCCAAAATCCAGCACTGACACACGACTGCTGGACTGCAGGAGAGGGAGCAGCAGGTCTCAGTGACTGGAGCCTCATTGAAATGCTGCATGCCCACTCTCAGGAGCTGAGAGCACACCGAGTATGAAGGACGAGCAGAGGGAGCAAGGGGATTACTCAGGATGCTCAGGGCAGTTTAAAGCAAGCAGGCGTGAAAGTTTTACTTTAGTAGTGGTCCTGCAGTGAGGCTGACACATCCAAACTCTCCACCTGTGTGCATCCCCACTTGGATCAACACCCTTACAGGGTGTTCCTAATGGTCTGTTGATTTCAACAGATGTCCCAGTAAATGTGTTGGAGAGGGAACAACACCCCAGTAGCAACTGCAAGTGCTAAAGCCCCACTGTTGGGTGCGAAAGAGAAAATTCATCTAGAGAGGGTAAGTTATCAGCAGGTCAAGGGGATATTTGCAATTCTGGCACCAAGCAGCCTACCTCAGAGCAGGGGTAACAGGGGCAGGCACAGCACAGCTTCCTCTGTGATCTGACCTCAAACCCAGGGTCACCTCCTTGTTCACCTTCCCACGGCTCCTGCCACCCTCCCGACATGTCTCCATCCTTGTAGCAAACATCACTTGCCAGGCCCAGCCATGCCAGGGCTATGCACACCCCAAAATCCACCTGCCTGCCAGTTCCAGGTAGGGGACGACCTTCTGTTGACCATGGTCCAGTCAAAGCACTGGGCCTGGGGAACACTGTGTGGGGCAGAGCAGCTCGGCCACATGAGGAGGGGTGAGGCAGGCAGCATTCCCTGGGAGCATTCCCTGGGAGCAGCCTCTGCCCAGGATCAGAGTGAGGACTGAATTTCTATTCTGGGGCTGTCTGTGCTTCCTGTTTGGTGTGACAGCCTCAAAGGCGAGTTAGTATTTATAAGGCTCCAGTCACATCATCCCATTATTCCCATGAAGGCAAGAGGCTGCTGGGGAGAGAGGAAGAGAGAGCAAAGCACCTCAGCAGCCTGCCCCAGCAGTGGCACTTTGCAGGGAGGCAGAGCAAACAGCACAGTGATGTCGCTGATTTCCCACCTCCTGCCACCAAGCAGCACAGAGAGGGCAGTCAGATGCTGGGAGCACAGCTTTTCTCTCCCCAGGTGGGAGAGAAAAATAGTGGAAAAGGCAAAAAGGACAGGGGAATATTTTTTCCCTCTGGCAATCTATAAGATTGCATCTATAAACATACTTCAAAGACTTTGTAGACCCAATGACAGGAGCTTTAAGGGCTTTTGAGTGATGTCAGCTTCTCAGCTGGTCCAAAGCCATCCCTTCTCCAGAGCTGTTCTGTTTTCTGATGCACACAGATCAGTGACATGCCATAGAGGCCCAGTGCCTTCTGCATGGGCAAGGAGAGAAGCCTCCAAGGAAGGGAGGGAATGCTACCAGGGCCCCAGGAAGAGGCAGCAGACCCCATCAGCCCACCCTACCCAGGCCACACACAGCAGGGGAGATGGACAGCAAGGCAGAATCAGGAGAGAGAAGAAAATGAGAGCATCTCACAGAAGGAATTTGGGGAGTAAAGGGGAACACAAGACAGGAGGGTGAAGCAGATGTGGCAAATGGAAACCAGAAATAGCTCCTGTGCACACAGGAGCCCTCAGTAAGAGGCAGCACAGCATGAATAAAAGCTGTTTTGGGGCTTACCTCAGGATGCCGCTCTTCAGTGTTGCACAGCACCTCTACTAAGCACAGAGAAAGACATTTTGCTCTTGACAGGAGGAAGGGGCAGAGACAAAAGAGAGGTGCACCAGGAAAAGATCCTGCATCAGTAGTAACCCATAGCTGAAGACAAAGGCCTTTTATAGGTGAGACAGCCAGGGTAAGAGACTTCAGTAAATCTGATTATTTGCTTCACCTGTGCTAGGGGAGACTTGCACCTCATGGTGCTGCACATGAATGAATGCAATTAAGAGGATGAAGCACCAAGATGATAAAGTGATGGGAATTGTGCAAGTTCCCACCTAGGTAAAACCCTCTGTTTCAACTCAATCAGCAGTGGAAATTATTTGCTCACTACTTTTTCCTAGATTTTGAAGCCTCCCTGAGCCTGTACTTGCAGGACCACAGTGACTTGATGCAGGCTGTATCTCAGTCTCTATTTTTCCATGGATTGGGACTCAGCATTTCCCATGAACAGCATGAAAACAGATTGCAAAAGGCAATTTTTTCAATCTGATTCTAGGCAAAACAGATTTTAGGCAAAATGAGGTACACATGCACAGCCTGGTCTGTGAGAAAGAACCAGCCTCCAATTTTGACAGTCAGCTTCAGAGGACCCAGAATTTCACCTGCAGTATTTGCTGACCTATCAAGCAATTCATTGAATGAGAACTTCTGCTGCTCTGTACCTTTGGCATGGTTTTATACATGATGTTTGAAGAATTTCTTGTTGTTGTTTCCTTTCCCCATTTCATTTCCTCTTTAAATTCCAAGACAACTGCCTGTGTGCAAGGATAGCAGCTGTTTTATTCCTGGAATTAGCACTCAGTTACCGGCTGGCCAAACACTGGGCTTTCTGCAGGAAACTTGGCTTTCCTGATTTGTTGCTGTTTTCCTTAGGCTGAAGTTAATGTCTGCAAGAGCCAGGACAGACATTTAGGGTTTTGTCTATGGAAAGAAAGAGTTCACTCCTTGTCAGCAGCAACACGGGACCTTTCAGAAACAGAAATATTTTCACTCTTAGGTTTCAGCAAGACATTTTGGCAGCATTATGAACCCAAACCTTTGGCAGAATCACACAGGCAGTGAGACAGAGGGAGGGACTTCGTGGGAATATGAAGAGCAAAGGGGATCAGAGCTCAGTGCTGCACTGAGTGTGCAGGAGTCCTTCCCACACAGCCCTCACTGTTGGCACAAAGGCACTGCGGGAAAGGGCTCAGACTGCTCCACCTGCTTTTCACATAGAACAAACAGGTCATCACATCACATCACAGTGGCTGCACCTCCAGAAATGTCCTGCAGAACTCACACAAAAATCCCAAAACCCATTCTGGAAGTTTGGGATTTGGGTGTTGGACCAACAGCAAAGCTGTGGGGAGCGCATCACACGTGCACCTCCTCTGCGAGAGCCGAGAGCTCGCTGGGAGAGGATTGGAGTCACCAGCTGGGGAAGTGTCTTGGGTAGCCAGAGGGCTGCTCCAGAGGGCTGGAATTGGCAATTGGCACTGTGCTTGCATTGCCATGGGCCTGCTGAAAGCAGAACACACGATGTGACAGAGCTCAGTTTTTGCCTTCAGGAGGCCCAGTTAAGTCCAAACACGCAGAAGATAAGTGCTGAAACCTCTGGATGGTGACCCAGTACAAAGTGAAGCTTCCAAAAACATTAAGTTTTCCCATCTCTGACTGTATTTATCTCCAGCCTTGCTCGAGTGACTGCTCTGAGGAAGGAGGGCACAGAATTACGGTACTACTGAAAGGTGCTGTACAAGCTCACAGCCTCTATCAGAAAGCCATTTTCTGAGGGGAAAGGTGCATTGTTTAAAAAAGCAAAGGGTCTTTTTGCTTTCTGTTTGGGAATCCATCTCACCTTGGGTCTTTCCTCCCTGGAAAGGCAGGGGATATCCTCTGGTCAAGGCAAACTCCTCTCCTCCCCTTGCCCTCTGCTGAGCTGTCTTTCTCCTTCCCTTCCCTCTCCACCATGTCCACATGGAGACTTTAACTGGTCCTGGAGCCTGCACTCCTCAGGACTCATCCCATTAGGGCCCAGCTGTCCTGCAAACACTTCTAGGGCCCCAAGAGCTGGAGAACTGCAGGTCACAGGCGAAAATGAGGAGAGGAGAAAGAAAAAGAGCAAGAGCACAGCCTTGACATCTGCCTCATCCTGGAGCCACCAAAGGCTTTTCCAAGTAAGGACAGAAGGCTGGGACAGCCAAGCACAAGTGATGGCAAATCAGATGTTCAGATAAAAATGGTGACAGGTTTTGTTTTGGCATTGAGTTTTTTCCAAAACCAAAACCCCCCACTGAATAAGCATGGCTTTGATCATGGATCTTTGCATTAATGTTCTGCTTAGTTTTGGTATGGCCTGAGTTCTCTTTTCCTTCCATGTCTGGAGCTTCAGCTTACTTTACTTTTTAAAGGTTTTATCTGGGACAAAAAAAAAAAAAAAAAAAAAAGGACTGGAAATGCACTTTTTCATTTAAAAGGAAGCTGAGACTCCCTAACAATAAGATGACTCTGGCAGCTGGGCTCTTAAGGACACTCTGGAAATTACCACACTCCTGATAAAATCATAGGAGCTGGTGAGGCAGTATTTCCCCTGCACAATTACAATTCCTTTGCCTGTGGGTATTGCTGTGTTGAAATGCTGCTAAAGTTCCTGCTATGTCATTGCATTTACATACATTTCTTCTCGGTTCTTTCCTTCTCCAGCCCCTGCCAGAGAGCAGACATTCCTGAAAATCAACTAACCACACTCCCATAACTTTACAGCCTGAAGACCTTGAAGCAAATGAGTCTTGAAGAGTAATTGTAGAATTGCAGGCACCAAATGATGCTGAATTATGCAGCGCTCAGTGGATGCTGCTTGGCGGTTGGATTTGGGGGAAAACGCTGGATAACAGGAGAAAAAGTCATGTTTTCAACTGATAGAGCAATGCTAGTAAACTCTCACTGTTGTGATCTCTATTAGCAAAAAAAAATGGGATTCAACAGTTCAGCCTGCACTGGGAAAGGTCAGGTTTAGGCATCCCCCTGGCATATCTGCATTGCTCTAAGAGGTGCTGAGAGCAATCACACACCAAATCTAAACACTTCAGCTAGCAAGCATCAGCCAGGATGTAACAGGTCTTGGAGGCAGGTGTGAGCCAAATATCCATTCTGGTGGCTCAGATGCTGTGGGGTGTGTGGACCTTAACCAAGGTGTATCTTCCTAGCCTGATTTTCTCTATTTAGAAAACATCTCAACAACATCATCACTGGCCAAGCCAGGAGAAACGCAGCAGCAACATACATAAGGAAAGAAACGTGATGGAGACATGTGCAGTGATGTCTGGTGATGTAGGTTCATTGCAGGGGGGTTGGACAGATGACCTTTAAAGGTCTTTTCTGACCCAAAACATTCTATGATTATATGCTCGCTAATCATTGGCCGTCTCTCTGTCTTCACATGCAGGCTGTTTTGGCACATTCCATGAATGTCCTTCATTATTAGTAGTATTATTATCATTATTAATATTGTTATCATTATTTCTATTCTTCACAGGTAGGAATCAAGCTGAAATGTTATCATTAATTAAGAAATTAATGTAGAGAATCAGCAGCTTGCTCAGCATCATGCAGGAAATGGGTGAGGACTGAGGGATGGGAAGCGGGTGTTCCCTGACCAGAGTGTGGTCAGGCTTCCTACCATCAGCTTGGCATTGCATGGGACCCAAAAAACACAAGGCTTCTGTAATGTTTGGAGGTCCTCTTCCCCAAAACTGTGATATTTTCCATGGACAAGAACTTGAAGAAAGGTGGAAAGGGAATGGGGGAAAGTCTGGCTGTTGATTATGAGTGAGAGTGATGGGAAGAGCAGGAGCTTTGATGGGTTGACCAAGAAACCCCCAAAAGCAGCAGTACCTGAAGGTCCTGGCCCTCCCAGCAGGTGGAAATGGGCAGCACAGGGCCCAGGTGTGCCCTGCTGTGGCACCAGGAGAGCCAATAACCCTGTCACTCGCAGGGCAGTGTGCCAGGTTCCCCAGTGCCCACCTACCACACTGTTCCATGTCCTCCTACCCCCTTCCCGAGCTTCCCACACAGGCTGGCCCCGTGGGAAGGCAGAGAGTGCCACAGCAGGTGATGAAGCAAGAGCTTGAGGGAGGATGGGGAGGAGGGAGGGATAAGAAGGTGACAGTCTAATTAAGGACCGCGTGATAACGTCTGGCTCCAGCAGCCGGGCCGCAGGCATTTCCTGGCCGCGGGATGCTGCCAGCTTTGCCACCTCAAAGTTTGCCTTCACACGGCTTTGTGGTCACTGGCCACAGCCCCCTGGCTTGATGGAGAAGTGTCCAAATCCAGTGTCCTGCTTGCGTGCCCGTGGGGAGGTAGAAGCAGAGGCTTTAGGTTACCTTTTGGCTTGTCCCTGTTGTTGGGTGTTTAAGCACAGGTGTCTGCTACTGTTGACACTGAGTGATAAGTGGAGACATTTTTTCCATCGGAAAGAATCTCAAGAATTTCCCTGTTCTCTTTTTATTCTTTTTTTTTTTTTTCTTCCCCTTTGCATCGTGGTAAAGAGCCTGTTACTGGGGAGGGGGTGGGGGAGGCTGGCATGAGGCAGAGGTGAGGTGGCACTTATTTAAAAATCAGATCCCACTCCATTCCATTCTCACAAGCATAGCCACTCTGGCCCCAAGCTTAAAATTCTTGTTCAAGTAAAATATTCCTCCCTTTCTGCACCCTCAGCTGCCTCTAATACTCACCTTAATGCTCTAGTCCCTGACTTGCAAACTGGTTCCCCAAAACAGCATCCAGCAGCCACTTGGGATGGGTTATCCCTCCAGAAGCGGGAAGAGCTGTGCTCCTTCGGTGTAGTCTGTGATGCTGAATTTGAACCTTTGCATCCAGGCTCACATTTCAGCCCCCTCCTTGACCCCTTCAAAGAGAGGGGTAAAAGGCTCAGAGCTTCACTTAGCTGGGACAAAAGTGTTTGGATGTCAAATGTAAAAACCATGCCTTTCCAAAAGGGAAAGAAGTAGATATGAGCTGGGAGAGGGCCCCCCCTTCCCCTTGCCCATCTCATGACACTGACCTGCCACCATAAAACACCCCAGGCTG